TTTTGTTCTCTTTCGTTTGTATATGTTTAATACGTTTTTTTTTTCAACCGATTTTTGACGACTTTTCGAACATTATGAATTTTCCATTATATTTACTGACTAAAGTTCTCGGTATTACTGATATAATGACATAGAAAAGAAAGAATGATGCCTGGGTGATTCAAGAGTGGAACCCTCCTCTTATTCATATATATATATATCACGTTGTTGTGCTCCCCCTCGGCTGGATTACTAACTTTTTTTCTCTCATTTTTTCTCCATTCTGTGCATATTTACATGTCTTAACGTCCATGATTCTCTTACATTTTTGTTTCTCTCATTCTCTCTCTCTCATTTTTTCTTGTATGCCTATAAGTATCTTCATTTTACTCGTCGACAGTATACCATTCGACAGTATGTTAAAATAAAAACAGACTAATTATATACCAAAGTGTCTTGTACCCTAACCGCATAGATGTTAGTTTACAATTTATCTTTTATTTTTTTAGATTTTTCTATTATTAATTAAATTCATTCATCATGGGTGGTAAAGGATCTAAAAAATCACGCGCATCGCTTGAACTTACACCAAAAGGTGATCTATTAATAAATACTTTCTTTTATTTTTATTCTTAATGTTTTTATTTATAGAAATTGCTATGCTTAAAGCCAACACTAAATTTACTGAAAAGGGTAAGAAGTCTTAAAAATAATTTCTATTCTTATTCATTGTCATTCTTTTAGAAATCCGAGAATGGCACGCTGTAAAGTTCTTTTAAATTCAATTACATTCTATTCATTTTAGTATTCTTTCGTTTTCATTAGGGATTTTTACGTGATTGTCCAAGTGGTAAACTCGATAAAAAGAAATTCGTCGATGTTTACAAACAATTCTATCCACAAGGCAAAGCAGATTCTTTTTGTAAATATGCCTTTAATACATTTGATGCTAATAATGATGGTACAATTGATTTTGATGAATTTCTTTTGGCTATTGCCGCAACAAGCCAAGGTGATTTAGATGATCGACTTGAAGTTGCATTTGAAATGTATGATGTTTCTGGTGATGGACAAATCGATCAAAAAGAATTAGCTAACTTAATTTCAGCTATGGTAAAAATATTTCTATTCTTTTTTGTTATTTCAATGAACGAATTCTTGTTTTTTTAGTATGATCTTGTTGGTGAATCTGATCGTAAAGGTGATAAGGATCCAAAGAAACGTGCTATTGAAATTATTACTAAACTCGATGTTGGTGGTGATAAAAAATTGAACAAACAAGAATTTATTGCTGGGTATATATATTGATAAGAAATTATCTTTCTCTTTATTTTATTATTCGATTCTTTCTTAGATGTAAAAATGATCCAGTTATTCGTCGTATGCTTGCACCCAACGTTTAAAACAGTGAAAATTCGTTTCTATAAAGACATTTCTATGAATTATAGACGAGACTGATTTTTATTGTATTTCATTTTTCTTCACTTTTCTTTTTATAATAAACAATCGTCAATGTATGACAACGTATGTTTATATTGAATGTTTAGAAAATAACAATACAATGATATGATTTTATAGACTTTATTCGTTCTGTACTCGTTGATATTTCAATAATGATGTAGATAGAAAGAAATTAAGCGTACATGCAAATTTTTATGTTTGTTACCCTTTAACGTTTTTAATGACTATTTATATCATTAGAAATGAATAAGAACTCGTACAAAATCAAAGATAAACAATGTGTTGTACGACTGATTTAGGAAATCATTTACATACCTTCCGAGTCGTTCTCATTGTATATTCTGAATATTTAAAATAAACTTTTTTTTTTCTAATAGTTTTTGAAAAGAATAGAAAAGAGAATTTCTTCGCCGGGATGCTTCAATGAAACTGGGGACGTAAATATTACATTTTATAATTTTTCTTTTCTTATATAAATAAAAAATGAAAGAAAACAGGAATGCTCATACATAACTATATTTGTGTATGGTCTTTATGATATAATATTTCTTTTTTAATTAAAATTTAACTTTTACATTCTTGAGAAAACACATTCTGTACATAGTGAAAAGAAAACTTATCTATATTGTTATTGCATTAATATGATTAATGTCATGTCATTGATCAGTATCAGCGCGTGGCTTCAATCATACTAATATTCTTTTACATTAAAAATATTATGATATTGTTGCAATTCTCTTTTAGTTCATTTTTTCGAAAATATTAGCAAAAAGTATTATCATCATTTGTTAATATATGATTCCTATTTTGAAGCCTTGTGAGAAAAACATCTTTATCTTGTTATGTTGAAAAAATGCTTATGTGATTATTTTTCGTTTTTTTCCTTTCATTGCTTATCTTTTATTTCGTCTGACATTCAGTTACACTTTGCAACACCATTATTTGCATTGACATCACTTAACGATAATTTATATATATATGTTTTATGGTAGATATATGAGCGTTTTACAATCATGTGAGAAGAACACGAACGATACAAATACTAACCGGAATTCTAACCTCAGACTGTACAATAGTACAGTTGTTTACCAGTTTGAGAATCATTACGATTAAAAATCTTGAAGATATATAAATATAGCGCCAAACATTTACTTGTCTATAATGAAATCACCACAACTATCATCTCCACTTGATAAATCTTTAAATATTAATTTTACTGATCGTGTCAATTCTCTAACTAATCAATTAGAATCTCTATCAAAAACGAATTCATCTGTTCAACAGATATTTCATATTGTTCCCATTATACATCGATTTCTTCAAAAAAGTCTTCAATCTCATCAAAAACTTTCCGATGAATATCATGATTTAACTAATACAATTCAACAAACTATTTCTATTTGTACTCAATATATTCATGATCGTTATGATCATGAAAATGAACTTTTATTTTTAAAAAATAAAATTTCACAAATTATTGGACAAATTGGTTATACACAATATTGTTTAGAACAATATTGGACAATGATTTATAGTTTAGAACAAGAAATTGAACGATTACAAATACTTCTTAGTAATCCTCAATTATTACAAATAAATCGACATAAATTTGAAACACTTCAAGAAACGCAAAAAATCAAATTAGATCGTTTTATAAAGGAAAATGAAAATATAAAACTCTTAATTAATAAACGAAAAGATTCAATTCAAACAACTCAAAACCAAATTGAAATAGATATAAAAGAATTACAAAAACTTAAATCTATTTTATATAATAACGAAGTAGAACAAAAGCATGTTCAAAATCACTGGGTACAAATAGGTTTGTTTCCTCGTAATCATAAAAATTAAAAAATATAATTTATAGAAAAACAAACTTCTCATCTTCAAACCACCGCTGAAAAAACCAAAAATATGGAAAATGAATATCAAAATCGAATGAAAACAACTAAAATGCAATACAATCAAGTAGGAAAACAGTTAAGTTCTTTATCAGAAACTTATGATCAAACTAATAAAAAATTAATAGCGATACAAACAAATGAAACAAATGTAATATCCTTTTATTAAGCACATCTATATTTTACTGTATTTTTATATTAGATCAAGCAAGAAATCGACAATGTAAAAAAAGAAATCACCACAGGTTCGTATCAAAACTAACGATCTTATTGGTAACATCCTCTTTTATAGAACAAACATGTATTCTAACCTATCGTGATCAAATACAAAACCTTCGACATCATACGCATAAACTCGAATTAGAAAAACGACATACTTATCAACTTATTAAATTTGAAGAACATACTAATTCCATATTAGAACGAAAACAAGTGTTACATAAACACAATCAATTAAAACTTCAAGATCGTGTTAAGAATCTATTGAGACAATTAACAGATATAAATAAACGAAATCAAATAAATCAA